GGCGGTACTGCCTCTGCAGCCACGGGCCTGGTGCTCCGGGGGGACGATGGCAGCTTCTCTCCCAGCTGGGTTTCTGCACAGCAAAGCCATGGCTCTGCCCCTGAGAGCTGGTGCCATCCCATTCCCTGCGCATCTCCCGTCCTTGCAGGCCCTGGTGTAAAATGCCCCTTCCGACTGGTACTGCTCTGTTGTCACAGAATCACACCATGAGAACACTGACTCGTGAGCTGGTTTGGGTTTTTTAAATATCTCTATTTTTTTTAGCCTGATGCTCATAGTGATCTGCAGTCTCTTTGCTGCCTTCAAGTTCCTTGTGGTTTCAGTTTTGGTACAAATGTGTTTAGATTTTAGCAAATTAAAGTTGGGGGAAGGGGGGGTATGGAGCATCTGATCAATTTGTATTTATTTATTTTAACATTTTACTAAATAAACCAGAGTAAAATCTCTTGTCTCCTTAGCTGTATGTACCAGGTGGGGACAGCAGGCACAGGGATGGCACAGTGCCCATATCAAGTCCCCAGGCCCAGAAGGGGTTTCTGAGCATGGCTCTGGGCAGTGGCTGCTGCATATTCTGGCTTGCTTTCTTGTCAGGGAGAAGGGCATTGCATTACGAGAAATGAATTTTAGGTCCAAAAAGGGCTGTGCTCAATTCAGATGAATCTCCCCAGTTCTGACTCAGTGGGTGCTTCCAGCTGATGCTGCCCGGCAGAGGGCACAAGGAGATCAGCCTGAGCTGGGTTTACTCCGGGTACTTGAGAGCCCTTGTACCATTTTGGGCTATGGACTGTCTAGGTTGGGAAGGATTATCTGAAAAGTGAGGGTGCACAGCCCCTCCTGCTACAGGCATACCAGTGCACCTTCCAAAACAACCGAGCCAGCATTTCTGGTGCCTCCTAGCCATCAAAGAATCACCTGTGGCATTGCTCCACTGTGTCTCTAGCAGCAACTAGAACTGAGCTAACCATCACTTGTTGCTTAGCACAACAGCAGTGCAGTGTCGGTAAGCTTTGGCTGCATTAAACAAAAGCTGTCTGCTAGGCACTAGTGGGTGGAGCTGCACTTGGCTTCGTGGTGATGAGCAATGTCTTCCCAGTCCTTTACCAAATAAAGCCTCAACACTTACTCCTGGCAAACCATTCTTGTCCTCCCCCCTCTGCAGATGCAAGGCTGGCAGTTTCTGGGGCCTAAGAGCCAGTTTTTATTCCCAACAATCTTATAAAGCCAAAGCTGTTCAGCGTAGGAGCCCCGGTCAGTTGTGCTATGGCCACAGCTGGGTGACTTGCCTCCTCTGTGGGCCATGTCCTGTGGGTCACAGCACAGCAGCCAGCTCAGCATGCTGCTCTTGGGGACAAGCCCCAGCAACGCCAGATGAAACCACATCTCTTCTACTGGGGTGTGATTAAACTGCCTACGTGCCTAAGCTGTGAAGCCCCAGGGATGCTAGCTCTGTGGGCAGGCCACCTGGGCCCTGCTGCAGCGCCAAGAACCATCAGACTTGAGCCCACCAACCTTGTCAGAGCTGGCAGGAGACTGGTGTGCCTGACACTTGATGACATTGGCATTTCCTTTGGCTGCTGCTGCTCGCTGTTCCCCCAACCCTCCCATTGTGCCAGCACAACAAGAAAAGGCTTTTCTCCAGGCTACTCCTGCATTGCTGTCATCGGGCTGCCTTTCCTCCAGGGCACACGTGCAGGTTCACAGCAGAAGAAGTTAATAACCAGGCTGTTTTAACAAGAATGTGCAAAAGAATAAAAAAGCTTTAATTTAAAAATTAAATTAAAAAGAGAGAATAAGCAAGAGGCGCTTGTGTCCTTTCCATACCCTGTGCTTTGTATGGCTCCTCTTAGCCACTCCCACCATGGACGGAAATCCTCACCCCTGCACAGAGCTGGCTCTTGCAGCCCAGAGCAAAGCTAAGGAGAGAATAACAGAGGCTGCAGCAGCAACTGGCCTGGAGAGCCTCCAGAGCCACCAGCAAAATCATCTGGGAGGAAGAAAGGAGTAAAAAAAACCCCTAAAACCTGGACACCCTAATCATTGAAATCTTAGGAGAAAAGTAGTAGATAATTTAAATAGCGTGAGGAAAGCAGTGCATCCTCTGTGCTCCAGTGTATGATAGCAGTAGAACAGTCCTGGCACGGCGATCCCACCATGGTGCTCAACTATAATCTTGCCCAGTGTCAATCACATCCCTGATTGTCGATGGCAACGACTGCACTGCTGAGAGCTGGGGAGGAGCAGGGTGGTCGCTGCCAGGAATTTCTCCCAGCATGTGCTGGCCCATGAAACTGCTGTTTTGCCTATGGCGATGGTTTACAACACAGGACAGGGTCTGTCACCAGCCAGGAGGTGGTCTGGGGACAGCAGACAGTTTGTCCTGCTCTTGGTGCCTCCCACACCACCAGTACAGGGCTAACTCCACTGGAGACTGCATCCATACAGCTGGGGAATAATCGTATCTCCCCCCTGTTAACCAGCCAGCCTCAGTCTGGGCTTGAACCAAGCCTCTAACTATTCCCAGTACTCTCTGACTGCTCCTCCCAGGGTACTGGGAGGCTTTCTCTGAGCCTGCTCCACAAAGGATGCAAAGGGATGCTCTTACACAACCTCATCTCCCACTCACCAAAGCCCTGGGGGGGTGCAGAGGATTGGGACCACTGAACAGAGGCAGAGCTCTCAAGGAGCCTGACCTCAAGGTGAGGTGAGCTAATGAAAACTGGGAATCCACATCAGCTAAAACAGGGGTGGGAAGACACCTGACCCTCTGGCCCCTGGCATGGGGAGGTTCTCCTGTAACACTGCTGAAGGTTACAGCAGCTTGACCTGCAGGCACTACCTGTTCTTGAGGCTGACATCTTCCATCTTATCTATGGGCATCCCTTTGTTGGGCTGGAGAGACTGTGCCGCCAACTCTGTTCCCTTGGGCTGGGCTGCAGCAGTGGACAGGGCCAGGAGGGAGGCCCTGTGCCCTCCCTTCTCCAGGGTACTGCTTGTACCCAGCACCCTCTGTTCCCAGGTGTCACAGGCTTCTCTTGGCAGTGAGGTATTTGAGCGCAGCCGCCCCATATCGCCGTGACAGGTCCTGGTGGAACTCCTCCCGCAGCGTCTCAAGGCAGCCCCGGTACCCCGCGCTCAGGCGAAACTTGGAGATGTCAAAGCTGGGGGCATGAGGCATGTGGATCATGAAGGCATTGGGCAGGACCAGCAGCTCGTACTCCTGGAGGGAAAGAAGCAGCCCTTACCATCAACACTGGTGTGGTATCAACATGTCACTGCCCAGCCAAGAGCCCCCAACACCCAGTGCCCTCATGGTGCCACGAGCAGCCCTGCACCCACCTGTGCATCCAGCTCCATGATGTGGGACACTTTGTTCCAGCCGAAGCCCACAAACCTCTGGTCATACTTGGGGCAGTCTCGCCTCACTACAATGTAAGGCTCAAAGTTTGGCTGCCACGCCACGCGGTATGGCACGGTGGCTGTCCGCCACTTGGCGTAGTCAGTGGGGGCATGGCCTTTTGGCCACACATGGTACCTGTGGGGAGAGACAGAAATGAGACTGGGCAAAGCTGGCAGCTCCCTGAGACAGGTAGAGGATGCAGGGGGTCCTCTGAGACAGGGGGTCCATGGCCTCAAGGCACAAGGGTACAAAGCTACTTCTGCTGGGTGTGACAGACCCCTTGGATGGTGGAGCAGCTCCAGTCCATACCTGAAGGTGTAGAGGGAGCCCATGTCCAGCATGGAGAGCAGCTCTGCTTTGGATTTGGGGAAGGTCAGGCGGTAGTGCAGGGTCTCAAACGCTGGCACGATGAGAGCTGCCTTCCTCTGTGGCAGCTCCAGCTGCTGGATGGAGTTCCTATGGTGGTGTGAAGAACATGAGGACTCCCTGGCTGTGAGCCATGGTCACAGCCTCTTTCCTCAGCCTCTCCAGCCTGCCCACCACTTCAGAAGGGTATTAATGGGTTTGGACACTTGGCAGTGGTGCCATGCTGGGGTAGGAGAAATGGGGCAACCCTCACAGCCACGGCCCCTTCCTCATCCACTGGTGTCTGACAAAAGCAAGGGCAGGATCCCAAGGCTGAACACAAAGGAGAGTTTTTTCATGGTGAGAACTGCTGCCCGGGGCGTTTCCTGAAAATTCTGGTGCTTGGGGAGCCGGACAGGTTGAGCAAAAGCCAGCTGGAGAAAGCCTTACCTGAGGTAATCGTAGAGGCCATACATAGGTAGGAAGTCAATGTCTGTCAGAAATACGTATGGCGTCTGTGTGTTGGCCAAAGCCACATTGCGCAGGAGGTTTATGGGGTAGAACTGCCCCTCCTTATAGACAATGTGGTAGGCGACGTTGTGGCGCGTGCTCAGCACTTCCGAGGCCTGGGCATAGCGCAGGAATTGCTGAGCCTCGGCGTCCGACATGTACAGCGCCAGGCTGATGGGGCCTGCCCAGTGTTTGCAGATGGCCTCCAACATCTGTAACCTGGGAAGCAGAGGGCACTCCATGAGCAGCAGACCCACCCCATGGCAGCTTGGCCAAACCCAGAACTCTGTGCCTGCCAGACAGCCACATGCCAGTTGAGCCCAGTTCAGGAGGGAGTGGGAGGAACCGATGCTCCCAGCTTGCGGTGTTGTTCCTCACTGCAAAATGCTGGTGTGAGGATGATGAACCCATGTTTTGAGATTCCCTTGTAGCTCCCAAGCAGTGGAGCCTCCCCAGAGGGGTGGAGGTGGGATTCACTCTCCCACCAGTCCTACCAGCAGGTACCTGTCCATCGAGAGCTGCGCCACAAGGGTGACATCAGTGGGGTTGGGAAGGGCCAGGAACTCATACTGCAGGAAGAATAGGTGGATGCGGTGCTGCGTGAGGTGTTGCTGACGGAAATCATAGCAGGGATCATCCTCATCCAACTCCTCCAGCGCCTGCTGCAGCTGCAACACCACACAGGTGAGGGAGAGCAGGAGCCCCACGGGGAAGCTGGGAAGGCTGCGTGAAATCTCTGCTGACTCCACTTCTCTGGGGTTGAGGGCAGAGTTGCAATGACCCTTACCTGGTCCCTGGGTCGGCTGGGAAGACTGGCACAGCCAAAAAGCTCCCTGCGCAGCAGGTTACCATCATACTCCAGGAAGGTCAGGTAGAGGTTGCGGAAGAACTCCACGTGCTTGTTCTTCACCCGCAGCTTCTTGGGTGAGTTCCAGTGGATCACCTGAGCAGTAACGTGTCACCCCGTGTAATGGAAGTCAGCAGCACCCAGCACTCCCCAAGCCCCCAGACTCCGTGCTGACTCCCCTGGACCTCCAGTGTACGCGCCGTCCTTCAGGTTCTCCCCAGTCTCAGAGGCAGCAAATCCACCCACCTTGAGATCTGAGAGCTCAGTGTAGCACTGCTCCGAGCGGGTGTGATCAGAAAGCTGCACATTCCAGAAGCAGGGGAGCCGGTACACCAGGGATGGGTCCTGCTTGATCACCGCGTTAAAGATGTCCTAGGAGAGAGAAAGGTGAGTTCACGGGTGGCTGGGGAAGACCCCCAGGCCAGCAGTGCTATGGGAATGCAGCGGGGCCAACCGCCCCAGAGGAGGTACCTGATCGGCCAGCGAGGTGGACAGCATGCTCATGAGCTCCCTCTCTGCTGTCAGGCGCCACATCTGCTCCCAGCCCAGGCGGCGCAGGCGGTCCAGGAGGAGAAGGATCACCCCTGAGTGCCAGGGAAGAGGGCAATGGGTCACTCAGGGAGTACCCAGATACTACAGAACTGGAGCACAGAAGCCTGCATACCTTCGGCCCCTGGAACATGCCACTTCTCTGCACCCGACCACACAACCCCAGGATGCTGTAGCAGTTCCCTCGAGGCCACCAGACTCTCCTGCCTTCCCCTCACCTCAGCCTTTCCCAGCCTCCCTGTACTGAGTGCTGCCTCAGCTGGATGTGCCATCAGGCTGCAGGGCCTACTCTGGCAGCCCACACTCACCTGTGTTGAAGCCACGTCCCAGGGCTGGCCATGGTTTGTGGTTTTTCCATAGGTTGCCCAAATACCAGTCACTTTGGTTCTCCACCAGCCCAATCACCTGCTTGTCTGAGGAAACAGAGGGACATGGATGCAGTCCATCTTGCTATCAGTTCAGTGAGCCCAAGAAAACCCACTGCACTGGTGCTGTGGCAGGTGGGGATTGCCACCCTGAGCCCTGCACTCAGAGCTTTACCAGGGCGCCAGGGGCAACCTGTCCTCACCAGAAAACTTCCCGAAGACAGCCCAAAGCTCAGCAATGTCAGTGGCAAAGGTGATGTCAGTGTCCAAGACTATGACCTTGGAGAGGTTGGACGGCAGTGCCTTGGTAAGCGTCAGCTTCATCAGTCCATAGATGCCAGAGTAGTGTTTGTTGGGTATCCATGACACCTCCGGCTGCAAGGCAACACAGCTCAGGAGTGGGCACAGCCATGCCCTTTCCCTGCCCAGGCTGCATGCTCCTGGCACCCCATGCAGAGGAGTCCAGCAACAGAAGGGCACACAGAGCTGTGGAGCCAGCTGAGCCTGGAGCATTTCCTCCAGCCTTCAGAATCCCCACCTGGACCCCAGTGTATCAGCGTTTAGCAGGGCACTCAGCTCTGCTGCAGAGGCAGTGCTACCCCAAGGGGCCTCCTCACCCCTCCAGTACCAGCCCTGTGCCTCCTCAGCTGCACCAGCTACAAGCCCAGAAAGGGGAAGAGGTCAGCAAGGAACCAGCAAGAAAAAGTTAATGAACCCCCACCCACCTGCCCCTCTCTGCTGCTCCCCTTGACCCTCTGAGCACCATCTTGGGAAAGAACACAGGGAGGGTAAATGCTTGCCTTCAAGTCATCAGCGTTGTAGAAGCTGACGTGGACGGAAGGCACCATCCAGGACTGGAAAAGCATCTGGAGGATCTGATGGGCCACTGAGTCCGTGATGAAGTGAAAATGGAGGGGGTTTTTCCTGCCAAGGGCAAGCGCAGCAGCACTCAGCATCACAGCAGGATGAAGAGGACACAGTCCCCATCCCTCCCATCCCTGCCAGGGGACACACATCAGCTGAGGGGGCAAATGGAAAAAAATCAGCCCTCTGGGGGCAAATATCCCCCT